CGAAATCTTGAATTGAAAACTATCGTTAACAGTTAACAGGTGTAATAGAGAGAAATTTTATATGTTTTAAAATATTATTTTCAGGAATTTTGTTTGACTTAAAATATTAATTATTTTCAGTTTTAAATTGAAATGTGTTAATAAAGATTTATTTGATTTCATTCAAACTATAAAGGTATGTGTTTTGTTATTCTATTATTTATTAAGTCTGACAGGTAAAGTACTAGTTATCCTTCTTTAGGATTTACCTGTAGCTGTATTACTATTTATAGATCTTTTCAGTAAGTGGCCATTCTGGACTGGTCACATGATTTTTAGGAGGGAATTTTTATTGTTCAGTATTACTGGTTTTCATGCCCAAGCGTACAGATGGGTGTGAGGGTGTTCTTAGAGCTTTGAAGTTTCTTTGAGCTGATTTTAATGTTCTTAAATTGAAAATATTTTTTTGGATCAAGTGATTTTCTACAATCAGGTTAGTGTTTAATTCAGGTTTTCACTATTTCTATATTTTCCCTACTTTACCTACTTTGAGTGAATGTTTGAATGTTAGGCAGTATGAGGGAGTGAATGTCTTCTGTGAGATTTGTATGAAAGCTGTAAATAATTTATGTAAATACAATAGTATTAAATATAGAGTTTATTTTATTCCTAAATAATATATAATGAAATTAGAAAGGAGAAAATGAGTGCATTGAAGTTATAAAGTTTTGAAGTATACAAATTCCTAAAGTATTCATTTTTATAAATAATTCCTTACTTTGAACAACATATCATTTCTTTTACATTTAGAACACCATGTATTACTCTGAAATCTAGGCAGGTTATTTTCATACCAGACCTTTGCACCTCATGGGAGGTAAGGTTAATTGATTGTTGGTAGAAAAATAAATTACCCGTTACATTTCGATATTGATGTCTTGTAAAATTATTTTTCAAGTATTTAAACTCAATTTTTCTTATTTGTTCAATTCATGTAACTTGAAAGTTTTGCATGAGTGACCGGTTATTGTGAATTTATTTAGTTTGTGTTCATCAGAAACTAAGAATATTATAAACTTATTTATAATTAGTTTATGGGAAATATTGTTGTATGAAAGGATTATAGTTATTTTGGTAAATTTTGGTTTTATTCGATTTCATGACTTCTTTGCTTGTTAAAAATCTGCATGCAGAGTTATTGTTCTTGTATTTATAACTTTTAAACGCATTGCAGGGTCATTGAATGAATGAATGCCATGGTAAATCACACCAACACTACAATAAAACCCACTTAACCAGGAATAGATTTTTGTTGTTTCATTTCCACCCCGGTTTCATTTAGATTTATAAACTATATTTAATAACTCTTAACTATAGTTTACGAGTGTGAATTATAGTTTATGACGATAAACTATGATTGGCAAATGTGAAACATAGTTTAGCTCTCAAAACTATAGTTTACGATCGATAAGTATAGTTTACGTCTGTTAAATATAGTTTGTGAGTATAAATGACAGTTAACTATAGTTTACGACCGAAATCTATAGTTAACGAATATAAAACATAATTATTTTATCTGATAAATATAGTTTCACGATCTGTAAAACTTTGATTAACAACTCTTAACTATGGTTAACGAATGCAAATTCGTTAACTATAGTTTACAGTTCGTAAACTATAGTTTACAATCGATAAACCTAGTTTATCAACTGTTAAACTATGTTTATCTAATTTTTGTGAATTTGGCGTGCCATACCTATTGTCTTTTTGACATATTTTTATTTATCAATAAAAATCTGCATTATGAGTTGTAATTTTTGCTAAGTGAAGGTTTAACCCTAATGTGATTTTTATATGCGCCTGTTTACATTTTATATTTTTCCTGCCGTGTAAACACTTTATCTTAAGTTAAAATCTCTTGAAATTTATTTAATATTTCATATCAGGTTTTGAATTTAGCGCCACTTTTCTATTTTGTGGAACTCCCTATTTTAAGAAGTTTGATTTAATTATTTTTAGTAATTGTCAAAATACATTTCGGCATGTTGTTTCCCATTTTTGTAAGTAACTAAAGAACAGCAATGAAGTATGTATAGTTCGAATTGCCTCAGTCATTGTTTGAATACTGTTGAAGTTTTACAAAAGTGTTTTAAAGAGTAAATATTGAGTAGTGTTAAAGTAAATTTTATTAATTATTGTTCATTTTATTTTACTTATTGTCAATTCCATGCAGAGACGCCACTAAATAAAGACGTAAACTTATATTTTCGTTATTTTCATTTGGGTTGTAGACAGCTACCTTTTGAGTGCTACTCCTACACTCTCACAGGACTTGTGTGTCCAACAGAGAAAAAAGACACACCTGTCACTATGTTGAATTTTGATCCAAGAGAATTGTATAATAATTTCATAATTCATTCAACTGAAATCGCATTATTGTACGTAATATTGATTAAAAAATTAATAATTATATATACACTAGACAAAATTGCTAACGCACCACCTAAATAAATTAACATTTTTCTTTTCAAAACTTGTTTATGATGTTTTTGATATATAATTATGTTACTTTGATAAAAAATGAGACATTTAAATGCTTTAACTGATAAATAACAACAATGTTTACTGAAGCGTAACCACTTCATAGAAAAAAAAATAATCATATCCATACTTTTTTGGTGGAATAATTTTCTAATTTTTTCTTTGTGGTTGTGTTCTTTATGTTTGTACTAATTAAAAACTCAGATAAAAAGTTACACCGTATGCGGCGTTTGACTCTAGAAGAGCGTGCTAAGGCAGCCAGTATGGTGTCTGCAGGGGGTTCCATTGAAGAAATTTGTGAAAAATTAAAAGAATTAAATGATTATGAATTTCACTGGTGAAAAACTGTTGAATATGAATTAACGATCATAAAAATGTTTACAATAGATATTGACGGCATTAAGTGAGCACCACACAATAATTTCAAGATTGTTCCACAAAATTGGGGCAACCGGAAGTTGGGTGGATTTGGTAGGGACACCAAGGCACTGGGTGACTACTAAGCGATATGGTAGTCAATCAGGGTATATCATTTGATTTTTAAGTGGGAGTCTGCTCCATTCGCAACGTCACGGACCACCATCGGTAATCACCAACTTCATATCTTGGCAAAAACAGTGCGCGGTGCACGTCGGGAAATTGGTTTTCGGACAAGAAGGTCCTTTAAGGGTCTTGACATGACACCAAGACATTTGTCAATCCAACTGTTTTGGAAAAGATGGCATATTTCATATACTAGTACCAATCAGGAAAATGATCAATTCACAAATAAAAATAATAAGTGGTGCGTTAGCAATTTTGTCTAGTTTATATAAATTACACTGAATTTGTTTTTTTCATCTGAAGTGTTAAGTGAAGATTCTTTAAATCGAGACACTACGTCTTTGTTTCTGTTGAAAACCAATCCGAGAACGCAATTGCATATCATTATAAATCTCCGTTACATGTAACCATAAATGACGCACTCAACGCGTTGGTCTTTTGTTTCTGTTTATTTAATTTAATCAGCGAATCAAGCGAGTAGTCCGAATTCCTTCTAAAAATATTTGTTGGTGTTATTCTATTTATTTAAAAAGTAACTAGTAATTTATTAACAATCTAACTAATGATTCTGGGTACCCTAGGGGGAGTATTAAACAATGATTTTTGCAAGTTTTCTCTTTCAAACAATTTTAAGTGAGATTTTTTCATTATTTGAAGTGTCAAATATTTGAATCCGATTTCGAAACCGAAAATATCCTATCATTTGACATGTTTTGTGTTCATGCAAGAATATCTTTAATTTTTTAAAACTAGTTTCTTTTTTTTTTTAATAAAAAAAATAATTTAAAAAAGACATCACTTTTACATAGACAACATGTAATATTTATATCAGACATGTTTGCCACAGATGATCCACTTATTTTCATATGTGGATCCTATGATTTAGTTCATATGAGAATCATTGGAAGCGCATATGAATCATATATTTGTATGAAGGGAACTGCTTACATGTAAAATATTAGTGTTGTGGTAGTATTTTCATAATCATATGTAAGGAAATTCATATGTTTCTCATATATTTCTCATATGAGACAAATATGTGTCCTTAATATTATAATGGCAAAGATCTTGTTTACTTTTCCTTCTTATTCAAATTCATATTCAGAATACCGTAAGACGTCCCGACCGATTAATCGATTTAAAGTATCAAAATACACATTTTCTTGACATGTTTTTTTTTAAAGTAAGCTCATAGTGTATTTATATACGCAAGAAGACTTAAAAAGGTATTTGTAATATTCAGTATAAAAATTTTAAACAGAATGCAGAGAACACGTCATATATACCTCTGTCTAAAATTAATTTTCGTTGTTTTCAAGTAACGAAGAGACCTACAAATTGTGTCCTCCTCAACTTTAGAATTTCAAACTTCAGTGTAATGGTGACATACAATCTTTTTTTAACCTCAGGAATCAATTAGATCAAAATTAATGATTCCTTTAATCGCTAAAATTTGACCCCTCGAAATAAGTATTACTACATGTACATTATTTATATACATTGCTGTGTCAGAGTAGAAATCCTATTAAATAAAATGCATGAATGATACACATTGATTTCTTCTTTATGATTCTTACGAGGGAATTATGTGAACTTCATATGAAGTGTAAATCATAGGTTAATAATACGAGCATCAATTCATATGAATAACATAATTATGACTTTCTGCAGATGAGAATCATATTTTCGCCACATAATTGTGATTTCATATGGATAAATATACATATGATTCTCTTTTGATACTCACTTCATATGAAGATCATATATGACACTTTTTCTTGTAATATTTCAGAAAATAAACTGTGTAAAACCTTTCTGGTGTATTTATTTTCTTCAAGCATCTTAAAGAAATGGTTTTAAATAACTTTTCAACATAATAATGATAGGACTAATTCTTGTTTAGTTATATCAATGGCTATTTTTCTTCGTTATTGCTTTTAAGGCACAGACGACCGAGTGTCCGTCGAATCCTTCTCCGGCTCAAATTCATCAATGCAGATTTCTGTCTTTTTCCTCCCCATAACGGTTTGAAAGGCGTTGAAGGGCGAGGTTTCGTCGCTGCGAGAGGTTGAAACTGACGCCATATTGGTGTTTTCTGTGTTCACATATTTTCCTATATCTGTCAGGGACATAGTCTTACACGGGAGGACTGGGTTCATTCCCAATGCCCGACTTAATGCACAGCGATTCTGAAGCATTTCACAGATAAGTTCAAAGCTTGCGTTGGAGACCGGTGAACCATTCGGGTCTACGTCTATACTTCCAGAATTAGATCGAACAATATCCGTCAACCAGTATGTAGGCATTTCTCCTTTACCCTATTAAAAGGAATTGTCATTAAAAGAGTTTCAAACCTTTTTTATGTAAAAAAAAAAATCATTTACAGAGATTAAAAAAAAACTCAATCAGCATACGTTCGATTCAATGTATACCCTACATGAAGAAATTGAAATGAACATACTGCTGTTATAAAAAGATCATTGAAGAAAATGAAACCCACCTTGATATTGACAATTCCACGTTTAAGTATTGTGTACTTTCCAGTTTTAGCCAGTAAGGTGTATGTGGAATGACTGATGTGAATTTGATTTCCTGTGAATCAAAACAAATATACATAATTATTTTTGATGATCATCATGAATACATCCGTATTATAAGATGCTCAAGATTTCCAGAGAGTTAGACATCAACTTACGCAAACCAGTAGATTTCATCCTGGAGGCCACATTGATGGTGTCTCCGAAGAGGCAGTAACGGGGGAGCTTAGATCCAACTATACCTGCCATGCATGAACCTGTTAAGATACGTAGCATGTAATGTTATGAATTTTATATCTATAGAGAAAAAAGTTAATTTATTTTATGCAATTAACCGTTATAAAAACATTGAAAATAAAGAAAATAAATACCCGAGTTAATGCCTATTTTAAGTTGTATATGGCGTCGACCAAACTCGTAAAATGTTTTCATCATCATCATCTTTTGTAAGGCAATTGCAAAATCTGCTATTTCCGATGCATGATGATCTTTATTTCTCTTTGGTAAACCTACAATTGATTTCAAAGGATATATAGATGAGATAAAAAATGATACACAAATGACGATAATCGCTAGGTTTAAGGTTCATATTCTTTAAACTGTTCAAAATACCTGATACAATCATGTAGGAGTCGTTGATTGTTTCCACTTTATACAGATTTTTCTGGTCCACAAGGTTATCGATGGCGCCATAGAGCACATTCAGAAGTTCCACCAGACGTAATGGCGAAAGAGAACGAGTGATGTAGGAGAAGCCCTCGATATCGGAGAAAAATACAGTCACCGATTTAAAATATTCCGCATTAATATCATCATTTCTCTTCAGCTTTTTTGCCACAGATTTAGGAATCATCTGATAAAGGAGAGAGTCCGTTTTCTTCTTTTCAACATTAAGTTCTTTGGTTCTATCGACCAGGATTCCTGCAAATTTCTGAATGTTACTAGTCTGGTTTTCGACACAGAAAATGAGGAACGAACAGGACAGAAGGACGAATACTAACAGAAAAATGTTGATGAATACACCGGTTTTAGCTCTCTCGGCTAGGGTAGATAATTTTGACATGCATATGTACCCCAGTGTAGTTTGAAGACTAAGTAGAGTGTCTAGATATTTTGTGACGTTATCATAGTGCCAGCGAGCTTTCTGAATGTCTGCTTTTGCTGGATCTTGTTCTTCCTCGCCAAACTCCTTGACATATTTCCGGAAATTCCTAATGGTTACTGATACATTAATACCAAAACTTTCGATTCCATGTAAATCTAGGTGACCTACATGAGGGGAATACATTCTGGCGGAGACATAGTTCTCCTGGAAACCAAAACTGTTGATGTTGTAAGTTTCATACTGCTTATGATTTTCGAATCCCCCACTTGCAAAAAACATGGTACCAAAAGCTCGCTCCACTCCAAGATTTTCTTTGGCCACAGTTATTTTTTGAAAGGCCACAAATGATTTCCAAATGACGGCAAATTTTGACTCGCTTATTGTTTCGTATCCCCAGTGGACAATTATATCAATGATAGAGGAGTAAAATACGTGTTCCTGGTCGATTGTTGAGCCATCAAGGTTCTGTCGGTGTCGTCCTAGGTGAGCAATGAGTTTATTTTTCGATCGAAACGCCGGTCTGTTATAGCGATCAAGATTACCGGGCCACATTTGTAAGCTTTCTATGAACTCGTCTGTTATTGTGTATTCTTGCAGCAGGAAAGACTTTGTCTCTGGCCCTATAGCACTTAAGTAAAGTATACTTAAGTCTCTCTCATTCTGAAGATGGTGAATGAGTTTGCCAACGTTGATACTAAACGTCAGCGATTCTATTGACTACAAAAATATGTACAATGCTTGTTTTAATGACTTTATGATGAAACACTATTAATGCGGAAGAATTTGGGGTGTAATACCTACCTTTTCATAATTTCGTCTGATATTGACTTCTGTTGTTAACTGGAACGCACAGAAAACCCACAATCCGAGGGTGGGAACCAGTGTAAGACATAACATCTTTAGCAGCTGGATCTTCCTTCCTTTGTCTGATACCATTGAGGTCTGACAAACACCCGCCTCTAAAAACAACAATGGGGTCAGTAAAATTAGTATTTATATTTTCAACTGATTGTCTTGAGTCGAATACTAGTACTTGATACATAATGTATTCCATAGGGAATTAATTTGACCTCTAAAGCAGTTTAATTTGGTTATGTATTTTCGTAAACAAGATAGTTCTTATCACCTTTCAAGTACATGTAGAAGAAACTGTTAAGCATTTTCTTTTAAGCTTAAGATTAAAAAAAAATCAAATAGTTTAAGAGATACATGTATATGTGAATTTCATTTTCATATTGAAGATAACAAAAGTATAATACTGGAAAAATGTTTCATTAGAATATAAAGTGATGACGTTCGATAAATTCTCTCTAACAAATAAATATAGATAAAAAGATATATATTTATTATCTAGATTTTCTCAATATTCTACCTTTTCCTCCAGTAAAACTTGTATGGGAGATAGCTAAAGATCCAATGCTGGAACAAGATTTATACATGTCTGCCATCTTTCGCGCAACCTTCAGGTAGTCCTTAGTGAATAGTTAATGCTTTTTTATAATGATATTCTTTCCAATATTTTGCTTAAATTCACTTCTTGCTTTGAATCGAGTAAATTTATACGCCAACTTTGTGGGAGATGAAAGCGTGATAATTGTTTTAACCACATTAAGGAGAACGTGATGCAAAGCACTATAAAGCATATATATATATATATATATATATATATATATATATATATATATATATATATATATATATATATATATATATATATATATATGACTGCCGTCATGAGAAAAGGGCCCTTAAGGTCAAAATTTCGCAAATTGACTTTTTGATCAATTTTGATAGTTTGACTCTTTCTGAATGCGAATATACATAACTTTAAAAATGTCTCACTGTATTAGTATTTTTTGAACATTTTAGTAAGGCGCTTCAAAACAACGTTGACGTTACTCACTGAATCGTAATGACGTCGCGTGTGTCAAATTCAGTTTCCAAACATTCTTAAAATTATTTAGATAACCTTTCATCTTTTTGACACACATAAATTTGAGAAAATATTTGATTTTTTCTTCCAAGCAACTAGTATATTATTATTCCTAAGGAAAGTCGCCATTGTACATGGTATTTTAGAGCAGATCCCGTCATATCGTAAAAGGAGGGGTTGTTTCTACACAGGATCTATAAATAGTTTATTGTTTGTTTGTATGTTGTTTAACGTCCCTCTCGAGAATTTTTCACTCATATGGAGACGCGACCACTTGACGGTGGAGAGCTGCAAATTTTGTCCTATACTCGGCACTTACGGCCATTGAGCAGTGAGGGATCTTTTTCGTGCCAGCACCTACTGCGACACGGGACCTCGGTTTATACGGTCTCATCCGAAGGACCGGTCTCCACGTCCCACAGTGGGATTCGAACCCGCGACGTAAGGATCAACTCCTTACTTCGTGACTCTAGAGCAGACGCTCTAACCACTGCGCCACGCGGGCGACTAGACAGATCGTTGATATGGTCATAAAGAGCTATCCTTGAGAGCAAATTAAAGTTCTATCAAGGAAACCCTGTTTAGGGTAAAGATGTCAAGAAAGACGGATTACATTTTGGATTCTTTTGCTTACATTAACTGAAATGTTAACATCAATTCATCTGTTTTGTTACTACTAAGATAAGAAAATTGACTTCTATTATGTCATCTTCTTCAAATAATACATTTTCTCCTTTCTTGGTCATAACTTTATTTAACTTTTTATCTTAAGCCTCATTTTTTCCGTTTAAGATGTTTTATCTTGTATCTCATTCCTGTTATAGTATGAGATGGAAGTGAAAGGTCTTCTGCAAAGTCTAGGTCGTATATTATATAACCAATGAGGGACTGAATTCCTCTTGTACTTTTGTAAATACCCAGTCGACAACTATCAAGTATAGTGCTGGTAAAAGGGGACAACATTGTTAAACCTCAGTTTTTCAGTTTTACAATAAATGATTCTATTATTTCAGAGTTCTTTCAGGCATTATTTGTACTTTTGACTTCGTACAATGTCTTTATCTTGATGTCGATCTAAACTGGGATTTCATAATGTAAAACAACATACAATCAATCCAAGATGAAAAAGTTCATCTTAGTTTCACAAAAGACTCTTAATTTTTCCATTAAACAAAGCAATAGATACGTATGTAAAATATTATATGATTTTATCTTTGAATTGCTAAATTAGTAGGTCGATTAATTATTTAATAAGGACATTGATGAGAAAGAAATACTAAGGATACATTTAAACACACGTCTTAACACTGCAAAGTAATTTAATTAAGGATACATTTAATTACATTTAAAGGTGCACTTAGACTGATCTACTATTTGATAGGAAATAAAATACAATTCTAGTTTGTATTGTATATATAATTTTTAATTCAAGTACATGTATTCAAAGCCTTATTTTAAGCCTTAGACCAAGATAAGTAATTAAAAACTTAATTTTTATGTATTTTTCCTATTGGGAAACAGTGGTGTATATTCCCCTCTGCTAATGTGTAGTCACAGATTTTACCAAAAGCGCATCATTGCCGAATTGCGGATAGGCAAGGAGGGAGTCGCCCCCTCTCAATAGAGGGGGGGGGGGGGGTCGGGTCGCAGGACCACTTTCTGCGATCTTGGATACATTTATCATTGTCATTTTCTCCAGTGAATATAATTATAAATCATTTAAACATATCTTTATGATACAAAAAATTAAAATCTTCATGGCCACTCTTAATAAAATTGAGAAATTTTAAAATCCTTACACAGTGCTCGGAAATTATGGAAACTTCTTTACTGAATAATCTAAATATAATATTTAAAATGTTTTATGTTTGACTTTCTACTATTCCAAACATATTTCCTAATTTCTATTCCCTGTCCTAATCGTAGACTCCTGTTGCTGTCATTTTTAATAGTCTGATATCGACTTCAAGATAACATTTCAATTCTAGATTTAGCTATGAAAATCAAAAGTTTTGTATACTGTAAAAATTGGATAGGCATAAAAGTGTGGATTGCTAAAAATACTTTTATTGCATTTGATGAAAAAATATTCTAGTAACTGGTATATAAAAAAGATTTATGATCAACTTTCTCCCATTTTTCAACCAAATACATGTATACATAAATTTTTTTTTTACTTCAAGAAAATGATGTGTAGGCTACAGCCTTATTGCCTATACAGAATATACACCATTAAGAAAGCGAACGCGATTTTTCTTTATCTCTACTACGATGTCTTTCAAGATTTCCTGTGTACACTAAAAAGGCATACCTGAACTAAATAATTTTAATACGAACTCCTTTAGGAGTCCTAAAGGTGAATAGAGGGTCCATTCTTTTGTTAAAATAATTAAATTTTTATCATTATTAAACACTTTTACATCTTTTTTTCTCTATGGCCATTATATCATGTATTGAAACTTGTGTATTGATTGGTTATGTATCTTGCGAGACCCGAGCAGTTTCCTTATAAATAATTATCGAATATATAATTATTTTGCCCATACATCGCAAGATTGACACTGAATGTTGATAACCGAACATTTGTCTACCGTTGTAATAAAATAAACAGCATAGCCATAGGACACTGGGCACGTGTCTCCCCCCCCCCCCCCCCCCCCCAACATTCCCCTTGTATTTTTTTCCGATATAATCTACTATAGAAAACATAGCAACTTTATGCTTGTGTCCTTTCAAAAATAACGTCTAATAACCGTGATAACTCCTTTTTTTTTGGGGGGGGGGGTTTCTTTACATTACATTTTATTATTTCATACGGGCCTGAACAAAGAGATATCATTATCTTTATTAAGCATGTATATTTCAGCCATCCGTACTTAAGGGGCTGTCTCTTGGTTTCACAAACTAAGTCACTGGTCACTTTCTAATACCTTGTCACAAACTATATCCACTTTGAAACCCGTATTACTTTTTATCATTAATCGCTAGTCACTTGTTTAATTGCACACTAATTATTCTCATCGACTACATTAAGCCCCCCCCCCCCCCCTTTTGTTCTTTGAATCCGATTAACAATATTTATTATTATTATCTCAAACCTGTAAACAAACTAAATAATATAATATACAGATATTCTTGATATAAATGTATTATAATATCTAAGAAGTTATTATATATATTAAAGCATACTTTGCAGACCAAAAACCCTATCTTTTTTCTAATTTCGCTTTGATATATACAGCACTCTTTCTTGCATTGTAATATAATCAAATGACCTCTTCAGTTTGAATATATTCAACGATTTCTTGAAGGTCAAAACTTAGCAAAGGGGAGTAATTGAATTTTAAACCGCCTTTTGATTGGTTAGTTTGGATCTTGAATCTCGAAACTCGAATTTCGAATCTCATATTTCGAAACTCGAATCTCGAATGAGCCTTCTGGGCTTTCGTACTTGAATGAAGATATTCCAGTAGCATTTTTATACTAGTACATGTATAATATTGCAGGATATTCTCTTCCTAATACTTAAGAATAGCAAAAGTGTTGTCTGAGAATCATTTGATGGGAATCAAAATATTGAAGTTTTTTTTTTATTTTCAGTGAATCACACTAAAGAACATAAAAAAACAATGTTTTTATTTTAATTCTTTGAAAATTCTCTATATATATTTCTGAGAAATATTTGTTTAGCATTTATTTTTTATGGGCGTTTGAAAGTTTACAAAATCGCATCTTTACACTGTGTTTATCTTTCATTACACATGCAGAATTTTAACTCAAAGTGATTCCAGCTTTGCAGTTCTCAACAAGTAAAGATTGTTGTGTAAATGGGCACATGTGAACGGGGCAATCAAATTTTGTTTAGACGTAATTTTATTTGAGATCTTATTGTGTAAATTTTTATTATTTTTTTGTTGTTGAAAATTAAGGTGAATGGAACACTATGTATTAATGAAAACATGTAAATTTAAAAGTGATCGTACTTTGTTTTGACATTATCTGCTTGATTTTGTATTAAAAAAAAAATCACTTTCAGTAAATGTATGTGTTATACAATTTCATAAAAATAACATTCAATGAATCGATTCAATACCTTGGAATTTCTTCTTCTTTTTTTTCTTTTTTTTCCCCCAAAAACTAATTGAACACAATATTGCTGAAGTGGCAAATGAAAAGCCACTAACAGCTCTCTGTCATTATTAAGAAGTCTTCAGTCAATGCCATTAAGTATCAATACTAAGTAATAACCAATTATTTAAAAGGTTTAATTTCTAATTGTTTCACATGAAAAATAAGTTTACATAATTCAAGCATAGGTTTTCATCACTATTAAACTTTCTAGAAAAGAATTTTTGTTAAATATAAACGAATACTACTGTATGTTTATCTATAATATAGATATTTGAACTTTTGATTCTTTATATAAATAACTACTCTTCAAACGCAGTATTTTAACTGAATAATTCTAATTGACAAATACAATTGTATCAATAAAAACAAATCTGGACGCATGTTCATGAAGCTACAGTTGTATCTTAGGAATTATCTTAGTCCTAAGTTCCTGTTAGTTTTCTTAAAGCCAGGGCTTCGCCATTTAACCATAAATCTTGTCTTAGGATCAATGTACTGTTCAATATCTTTACTTTTTCTACCTCATCCAGAACAAGTGAATTTCGACATCTGAAAAATGGGGTTCTATTCTAACTTATAATAAGAAAATGAAGCTTTCCTTTCAAATTCATACCAGTTTGGTCTGTGTGGAACTAAAAGTGAAAATTATTCTCTATAATTTTGTTTTTATATATGAGAAAGTTGGCGTATATTATTTTTGATTTTAAACACGTTAAAGCATGGAGCGTCCTGTGGTTTCAACTTGTAAAAGCTTGCAATATGGAACCTTACTATTACTAAGAGGGTTGTTAGAATTCACATTTGTGTGTTCGCTGGTCGCATGAATTCATTAAAAAACTATACATATTTTCCAATAAATATACAAAGATTTGATGTTTTCTCGTCCAAGTGAATATGAAAATTACAACCGTATGAAATTTGCATTAAAAAAAGAGACCCCCCCCCCCCCCCAATGTAAAATTTAAGGAATTTTTAGAATATCATTATAAAAGTGCATTATTAAATTATTATGCCCCCGTAATCTAAGATTTTGGGGCATATGAAAAAGGGAAAGATAACGAACAGTGATCGATATAAAAAAAATATATATATATATAAACAATTCAATTCTGTGAAGAGGGCACAAAACACGGACCTCTCCAAATTCCAGAGGTGGGATCATGTGCTTATGAGGAGTAAGCATCCACTTTTGACCGGTCACATCCGCCGTGAGCCCTATGTATTGATCAGGTAGACGGAACATTCCATAGTCAAATTTAGTATAAAAACAAAGGCCTAAAAATTGGTATGAAACAAGTCAGCCAAAATACGACCCAATGATAGGGTTATATTTGCGTACAAGGTCATAATACCACCATAGAATTTACGAAATGCTGACTTCAAACGAGGTAGTTGAAATCCATGTAACATCAACATATCTGTCAGTATCCTGCCTTGGTTTAAAAGTGAATCGTACTCGGAGCATGCTCTTGAGTAATATATAAGATTGGAGATGTAAACACCATATGTAGGTGATTGCGGGATATTACTACATAAGTAATGAAAGTTGACGATGGAAAAGTTGAAGTCATCTAGTTTGTCATACAGTTTAGTTGTTAGTTTGGTAATTGTCGTCTATAGCCATAAAACATCCAAATATGAACCATATGTGGCAGACTTTGTGGTGCCTTTTATTTTATATTCACTGGTGTGTATCGAATCGACATATGAATGAAAGTAAGTATTGTTAATTGATAATACATCGTCGATGTACATGTATCTAAAAGTCGAATTGAAGACCACAGCAAGTGTTTTCGTCTTTTCATATAGAAGTTTTGTGAGTAAAGTCTGCTTCATAGGAATATATAAACAGTTCAGCTAATAAAGGAGCACAATTAGTTTCGAATCGCAATTCCAACAGTTTGTTGGAAGACCTGGTCTCCGAAGACTGCATAAATGTTGTCAAGGAGGATCTTAGCATCCTTTTAATATCAACTTCAGAGTACTTGTATGTAGAATCAGAGTGGTTTTTAACAAAGTAATTTTGTTGATGACCAATCACAATTTCCGACTTACATTTTTATAGAAGAAGCAGTTGTCTATGATATCAAAAAGCTTAGTTAGTTTTAAATTTATCTTTAGGAAGGGTTGTATAAAGTGTAGAAAAGTCATGTTTCTGAAAAATTTGGCGATTTAAAATTTTTCAAAAGTTCTTTGGAGTTTTTTAAGAATCCATGTCTGATTTACACCACTTCTAGAATATTCTGTAGCACAGTACGTCTAAAGTTTCTCCTTAACAGCAGTTATTTAATAATTTTGTAAAGAGTAAGGATAGGGGCTTAGTAGAACATCTTCCTGACTTTGCAATCTATTTCTGTTTGTAAGGATTTTATGAAGTTAAGGAATCCATTACAGGTAGAGTTGATTGAACTCACCTTGGTTGACTGGAATACTGAAATGTGATTTTGAAGAATTTCACCTTTAGAAAGTAAACTACGAGTACAAGTTGGATTTCCAAACACAGAAATAAACCAAGTTCTTCTAAGATACAGTTATTATAATAATGAATCTTGCAAACAAAGACGATACGTTATAAGCCTTGTCGGCTGGAACCATAACATATTTATAATGAAGTGTTTCTAATTCTTTGATATCCTCCGATTTAGTGAAAACGTCATAGTTTATGCTCTGTCTGTCCTTCTAAATATCTATCTGTCTGTTTGTCTGTCTGTCCGTAAACTTTTAATCGGTTGGAGCTAGGGCGTTCATACATTAAACTTATACTCTTTGTGATAAGATTTTTCTTTGGGTACCAATATATTTTACCTCTTGACCATGACCTTGGAGTTTGACCCACTTTTGCAAAATTTTACCAAACTTTAACCTTAGCCATAACTTTGAACGAGTAGTGCTAGGGCTTTCATACTTCATATATGTATTCCTTGTGATAAGACCTTCATTTTGAGTGATTGGAGCTAGGGCCTGTAACTAGACCTTTCCTTGGATACCAACAATTTTGACCTTGGATTTTGATCTACTTTTGAAATACTTTAACCTTGGCCATAACTTTTAAATGGTTGGTGCAAGGGCTTTAATATTTACCTGTATTTTCCTCGTGACAAGAAATTTCTTTGGGTACCAACAAATTCTTCCTTTGACCTTGGACATTCACCTTCTTTCGAAAAACTTTAAGCTTGACCATAATTTCTAAATGGTTGATGCATGGGCTCTCATATTTAAGAGGTGTATTTCTCGTGACAAGATCTTTCTTTGGCTACCGATAATTTTGACCTTTTGACCTTGAACTTGGAGTTTGAGATGTATTTGAGAAACTTTCACTTTCGCCATCAGCTACAATACGGCCCGGGGGCATCAGTATTTCAAAAACACATCTTGTTCATATAATATATTTTATCACTGACATAGAAAAATAATTGCTTATAAATTTCTAAATAAACTTTATATTTATTTTGTCTATCTAGTAACATGAATAACAAGCAATCTGAGCGTATTGCTTAAGCAATATATGTTCCTTCTGACAAGTGTAATCTGGTTCCCTTTGAAAATTAAAAAGGCCGTAATTCCGTCAAAATTCATCTAAGCTGAAAAAAATTCAAACTTGTTACTCACCAAAGTAGACTACCATACAGTAAATCAAGTCAATATCTTTAAGAGTGTAGAAAAAGGACGGAAAATCAAGTGGGATAGACTGACAGTTAGACAGAGAGACAGCTAGAGGGACAGACAAAAGGACAAACGGAAGAGAAATCTATAGTCCCCTCCGGTAGAGGACTAAAAAAAGAGAAAAATAATTATTCCTGGATAAAAAAAGTTTACAAAATACATGTATCGTGATGTCAACCACATGTATCGTGATGTCAGCCGATGGTGACATTGTACTTTATAAGTGTCCCTTTGTTAAATTAGTGTCTCTTCTTACATGCCTAAGCCGTAGATTGGCCAGTATTTGTTGGAATATCTTGGTCAACTGTTGCAGCAGATGTATCCTGCAATTCCAGTTCTACTTGCTGCTTACTTTCTCCATTACCGTTTACTTTCCTCTCTGTTTTGTCTGGAAATAGAGACTTGGTATTCCGTTTCGCTATACTTTTCTTTTTCATCGCAACATTATTGACATCATTAGGTGACACTCTTGCTTTGTTTTTCTGATCTTCTGTCAACTTCCTACCGGGCAAGGGATTGTAACTCAAGGCCATATAGCTGTATTGACTGTGAGTTATTTCCCCGGGGAGATCGTTGTTGAAACTTTTGTAAGATGTGGGACTGCCGGCTATGATATCACCACTCAATGTACACCCAGTTAACCAGTATGTTTTCATTTCACCCTTACCCTGTAAAAATGAAATGACAATGCTTTACGGTCAATTAACATGGAAGCAAAAGATCAAATATCATGTCAACTTCACTGTTTAATTTTGACTTCTTGTTCAATACAAATGTTTATCTGATTTAAGAGAAATCCGATGTTTGTAAATCATATTCCTAAGTCAATTAAGGAAAAACTTTTTCAAACAGTATGTTTAATGGACGATGCGAGTGGACTATACGCAGCACATGCACAGGTATGCGTAACTTACTGCTATCAGATTCAGAGAAAAAAACTCTATTCTAATACATGTAATTAATGCATATATAAATAATACTGAGTTTAGCCGCCCACAAATAATTTCAATTAGATGTATACAGATATTGTTGACATTTTAGTAGAAAGATATGTAAAGTTAGCTTCTAGTAACTGGCTACTAGTAACTGGCTACGACAAGTGGGTAAAGTTAGTTACTAGTAACTCGCTACTAGTAACTGACTTAAAATGAGAATAAAGCTAGCTACTAGTAATTAGCTACGACAAGTGGGTAAAGCTAGCTACTAGTAACTAGCTACGACCAGTGGGTAAAACTAGCTACTAGTAACTGGCTACTAGAAACTGACTTAAAATGAGAATAAAGCTAGCTACTAGTAATTAGCTACGACAAGTGGGTAAAGCTAGCTACTAGTAATTAGCTACGATAAGTGGGTAAAGCTAGCTACTAGTAAATGGCTACTAGTAACTGACTTAAAATGAGAATAAAGCTAGCTACTAGTAACTAGCTACGACAAGTGAGTAAAGCTAGCTACTTGTAACTGGCTACTAGTAAAAGACTCAAAATCAGAATACAGCTAGCTACTAGTAACTAGCTACAGCCAGTGAGTAAAGCTAGCTACTAGTAACTGGCTAAAACATGTCAATAAAGCTAGCTCTAGTAGCTGGCTACTAGAAACTGAATTTAAACGTAGTTCTAGTAACTGGTTACATTAAAAATTTTAATTCAAAGAAAAAAATAATGTATTGAATGCCTTTAAAAAATAAATAATAATTTCGTATTTTTGTTTCGCTAGTCAAAATATCTTATATTAAATTATGCTACTTTTGATCTATAGTTGCAGTTTAATACTATTGTTGCGTATGCATTTTCAGTTAGTCATATCTTAGAAAAATCGTAAGTGTTCAATTTCTTTTATATATTTCGAAGACATAACTTCCTTCTACGTCTTTTTTTTTCTTTTTTTTTTTCCTTTTCTTTTCTTTTTTTTTCTTTTTTTCTTTTTTTTTTTTGATTTCACAAACGTTTTTATTATTTTGTCACAAGTTGTTTAAAAAGTTTATTGTTCAAAATAAAATTATATTCTTATCAAAACATATAAAATTTGGTACATTTTGTATAATAGTCAATAAATACAATGGATATAACAACGTAAATTTGTTTAGTACAGTTTCGTTGAAGTAATTGGGTTCTTATTAGCTGATATCTACCAATATTGCTAAACATCCCCTTGGCTTCTCCATATGATCTGGCACTGAAGTTACCAAGATATATGTATTGATATCTAAAGCTACTAGTTCGTTTTGCGAAATATGAATCATATTCTGGATAAAAGGTTAACATCTTCCAATTTGCAAGAAGCTGGGTATTTAGAGAGCTGATATCTACTGATACAGTTAGTAATATATTTCTTCAAGGTTCTTCAAAGAAAATATGACTGACATTTTACGTTTATTTTTTTCCATTTCTTCAATTACTAGTACATTTCGTGAGACATACGTAAAGTTTGCGATTCAAATATTAACATCATTGAAGTAACTGGTTCTTACTAAGTTAATATCTACAAGTATTGCTGATGTAAACATCATCGTAGCTTCTCCGCATGATCTGGAAGTAACTAAAATATCTGTAGTGACATCATGCGCGTTTTTGTGACATATGAATCATTATTTGGGTAAATAGTTAAAATACTTCAAGTATTTGGGTATTAAAAGAGCTGATATCCACTGATACAGCTAATAAGAGATTTCTTCAAGTTTCTCCACATGACGTATGACTCACGATTTACGTGTATCTTTTGTCATCTCTTTAGCTTCTAGTACATTTTATGAGGCATAATTAAAGTTTGCGATTCAAATGTTTACATCATTAAAGTAATTGGGTTTTAACTAAACTAATATCTACCAGTATTGCTGATGTAAACTTCCTCTAAGCTTTTCTACATGATCCGCACTAAAGTAACCAAGAGATCTTTAGAGATATACTCAGCTACTAGTACTTTTTTGTGTAACGTAATGCAAGTTTGCGATACAAATTTTGACAGCATTGAAGTAACTGGCTTCTTACTTAGCTTATATCTGGTGACATTGCTGATGTAAACCTCCTCTTAGCTTCTCCACATAATCTTGCACTGAAGTAACCAAGATATCTGTAGTGATATCTTTAGCGTAAATCGTCAGTCATGTTTTATGTGGAGAACCTTGAAGAAATTTCAAATTAGCTGTATCAGTAGATATCAGCTCTCTAAATACCCAGCTACTTGAAGGATGTTAATATTTTACCCAAAAATTAAATTGAATCATATTTCACAAAAAGTACTAGTAGCTAAAGATAACACTACATATATCTTGGTTACTTAAGTGCTGGATCATGTGGAGAAGCTAAGAGAGAGTTTATATCAGCAATATTAGTAGATAAAGTGTTTGCTTCTCTTTTTCTAATGTTCTTTGTTTTTGTTTCATTTATTTAATTCCTATTTAAAAAATAGTATATTATTATCATTTATTTATTATTGCTCTTTAGTTGTTTTTTTTTTTTTTTATTGTGAAATTATTTTTTTTGTTCCTAGGACTTAATACAGAATAATCTGTGAAATGGTTGGACAGAAAGTTTCGACGGCAATGATATTAGAAATGTTTTTTCCTTTATTAAACGTTCCGCGCTTTGACGCATCAAAGATGCAAGTACTAGTATTTCGGACGAGAATTTTAAAATAGAGCCATAGTAATTGCAATTTTAAGTCCATAAGCATTTTTGTTAAAAATATGATTTGCGTACACCTCGCTACGTCTTGATATGAAATTAAAATTTTTGATGAAGCTTATAATTATATTTTGATTATGGGCGTTTAATCCATTTTTCAATAACTTATTTTATCATTGATAAACCGTCACTCAACTCTTTATTGCTTATTCTAGTTAATATAGCTTGTTAGGACGTAGCCCTTCACGCGAACAAACTTAAATTCCCTTAAGCCAAGGATGCTTTGTGACAAGTTTGTTTGAAATTTGCCAAGTGATTCTGGAAAAAAAATAAAACGAAAATGTGACAAGTTTACAGGCAACGCAGATGGACAGAGGGACGGGCGCCCTAAAAGATCAGAAAATCTAACTTAAAACAGGTGAGCTTGAAATGTTCATATTGTATATTTTATTTGGAACTAAATAAATGCAACCTTTCGACTAATTATCAAATTCATTCCCTGAACTACATATGATCTAATCAAAACATGTTCAAAAATGGAAAAAGTCTTTATTTAAAGGTGTTATCCCAAGCTTGGAAATTCTTCGAAATTCAAAACACTAATTCATATAACAAAAAGTCTTTATACTCCTCAAAACGAAAATGTATTTAGATAATTTCTAGTAAGTCTAAATTGTGTCCAAAAATTTTAACCTCCAAACTAAAAAGCAAATTATATCATCAAAATTGAAGATATACCTTATTTTTATTTCTCTATCCAAATAACCTAAAATACTATACTGTATAAAGGATTGTTGAAAACGTAAAAATAAAAGGATGTGTTTTGCTTAGTCATTTACTTTGATGTTTATCGTCCCACGCTTCTTCATCGTGTAGTTTCCGGTCTTTGATAGAAGCACGTATGTCGTGTGACTGATGTTTATTTTGTTTGCTGCAAAGATACGTGGATAACAATGTTAAATAGGTGAGGTTCCTTATTTTTAACATTTTATGTTATCGTTATGTAATCATGTAATATTGCATCGGTAAAACTTAAAATTATGCTTCTTATTTACAGACTTATAGACCAAAGCTTTTAACTGAAACAAATTTACTTGCTTTTAATTTTTTTTTGAATAGTAAGATCACTCTTACGTCGGCTATGAGACTTCATTCTGGACGCTGTATTGACAGTATCCCCAAAGAGGCAGTATCTCGGCAAGGTTGATCCCACAATACCTGCCATGCAAGGTCCTGAAAAATGAGGAATAGCGTGCATATACTAAACTACTACACTGTAATATTTAATTGTATCTTGATATATACTAGTAGAAATTGTTCTGTATTGAAACCTGTATTTATTCCTATTCGCAATTGGATTGTTCCTTTTTCACTATTGGAAAATGTCCGTTCCTTCATCATCCTTTGGACAGCTAGAGAAAAGTCAGCAATCTCGTCAGCATGCCTGTTGTTGTTGCGATGTGGCAGACCTAAAAAAAGAAGTTTTTATTGGCTCACCTGAGCTAAAGGTTGATTTTTTTTTTAATTTTAATTTGCTGCAAAGCATCCTTGGGTAGAGGAAATTCAAGTTTACTCTCATGATGGGCCACACCTTCATGTGAAGGGAGATAATTAAGAATTGGGTTAAATTTAATGACATCTTTAAAAAATCTTCTCAAGAACACAGGGCCAGAAAAAAGTTTTAAAAAAATGTGAAATCTTCATTACATAGTGTAGATTCAAGTTTGTTCAAATCTTGACCCCGGGGATAGGATAGGTAGGGCAGCACGGGATTTAAGTAATACAAGGGAATATGTAGGAAATATCTTTCAAAATCTTCAGGACCAGCAAAGCCGGGATTAGTCATATTAATACAGAAGCATCCTCAGTTAGTATAAATTCAATCTTGTTCAAATCAAGACCCCTGGGATAGGGAGAGGCGACAGGAATACATAGGAAATAATCTTTTAAAATCTTTTTAAAACCATGATTAGTCATATAAATATGGGAGCATCCTTAGTGTGTCTCTGCACACTCTCCAGGGGTGGGGGAGGGATATAGGGGGGACCACCTAAATATTTAGACTTTTCAATACTGATTTCTACTTTTCTTTAGCCGAAATGCCCAGGTGAGCGATGTGGCCAGTGTACCTCTTGTCGTACAATAAAACAGCTGTAATTATTTAAATATATTTTGCAATGTCTTCTTGTCTAAAATTTTATATTTTTATTGTACTCTTTCAAGACTTCGAGGACTTTCGGAGATCAAAGTTCCATGAATGAAGCTATTTTTACCGTTTTCAAATTGTTTAAAATAACTAAATTTAAGTCATCCAGTACAATCTTTCTATTGTCAATACTCTCTAATAACAACGATACTTTAACACAACTAACCTGACGCTACCATATATGAGTCGTTAATGGTCTCCACTTTGTACAGATCCCTGTTGTCAAGGAGAAAATCGATGGCACCATAAAGGGCGTTCAACAGTTGAACGATCTCTAGGGGCTGCAGCGAAATGGACAAACGGGAAAATTCATGAATGTCCGAAAATAAAACAGTAACAGATTTAAAGTACTCCGCCTCAATCCCTTCCTTTTTCTTTAACTTGTCTGCGACTTCTTTTGGTACCATCTGGTACAGGAGAGAATCGGTTCTCTTCTTTTCAAAGTTCAGTTCCTTTGTTTTATCCACAAGAATAACAACATACTTCTGTATGCTGCTGGTCAAATTTTCGGTGCTTATGATAACTATAGAACATGCGATTAAAACAAAGACCAAGACACAGGCGCTGATTATAAGGTCTTTATTTGAATCTTCTAGTATCTTGTCGACCTTTCCAAGACAAATGTTACCAAGGGTTGTTTGGAGGTCAAGAAGTTTATCCAAATAAAGAGTCGCGTTGTCGTAAAACCAGCGAGCATTTCTTAAGTCAATTTTACTGACACTTTGTTCTTCTTCCCCATTATTAAGAATATGAGTGCGATATGTATTCATAATAATGCTGACATTTTTACCATAAGAAAAAATGCCATATGATCCGATGTAATCAACGTCTGAAGAGTATAAACGAGCAGTTTTGTAGTTGGTTTGAAAGCCAAAGATCTTCATATTGTACTCTTCAAACTGAAGGTGAGTTTCAAATCCACCTCGTGCAAAGAACATGGTCCCCAGCGCTCTCTCCAATCCCATATCTTCCTTCGCTGAAGTGATTTTCTGGAAGCCGACGAGAGATTTCCACACCACAGCAAATTTGGATTCTTCAATAGATTTGTATCCCCAGTATATAATGATGTCAATAATGGAAGTATAGAACTGCATTTCTTTATTGATGTCTGAGGATTGACGGTTTAGTTGTTGACGATGCTGAACTAAGTGCTGCATCATTTTCCCCTTGGATTCAAATGCTTCACTGTTATCCCTGTCCAGATTTCCCGGCCATCTGGCTATGCTTTCTATTGCTTTGTCTGTGATTTCGTACTCTTTGAGCAGGAATAATTTGGTCTCTGGGCCAAGAGCACTCAAATATAGAATGCTTAGATCTCGTTCCTTTTGAAGATGATGGATCAGTCTGCCAATTTCTATACTGAATTTCAACGATTCCCTCATCTGTCAGTTGAAAAAAAATTCAAGATACCAATAATTCTAACTTGTTTTTAAACATCCTTTACAACTAGTAGTTTTACAATCTGTCTATATCAGTGTATATTTTTCGTTTTGGTTAATATTTTGCCATACCTTTTCGTTGTCCGTTTTGGTAGATATTAAATCAGTAAGTTGGTAGACACAGTAGCTCCAGAGTGCTAGTATTGGTAACACAGTCAGACCCAACATCTTGACCATTTGTACTCTCTTGCCGCGATCACTGAGCGGTACTGTGTGACATATATTACCTGAAAAAGGAGATGGGCGAACATAGCGTGCAAAAAGCCTATAGCTTCAGAAGTATAAAAATCATGTTCAATTGTGAATTTAATATTTAGAGTAAAGTTCTCATTATTGAAATTTATGAAATTGTGATAAACAAAACTTTTTTGAGGAAAATTTTCTCGGCAAAATTTATTCTTTTATTTAAAAAATTAATGTTGTATCCGTGGGGTTCGAACCCTAGCAATAAAAATCCTAAGTATCATTTTCTTTCAAGACTAGCACGCTAACCACTGGACTACACAAGTCCTGACAAATAGTGGCATTTAAATCATGTTTGTGATATGACCCTTGACTTAATGGACTTCAAGTATTTCTCGAAAAGATGCGAATAATATGTCATAAAAGTATATTTTTAAGGTATAGTGGATCATTGCTCCATATTTTAGGTAACCAAAAAATGAATATTTTATGTAAACTTTGAGGATTAACTTTCAAAAAGGTGGAGCGAAGACCCACTCATATCGAAAAATAGTGTTATAGTATGAGAAAATGCCTCTTTTTGCCCGCTTTAGTGTGTGTCTGATATTTCACAGGCAAATAATTTCAATCTTTGAGGGATTTTTGCAAATTGTAGAGATTTTACATAAAGTATATTTTAATGTTAGACGAAATATCAAGGAAAATTATGATATGATTGAAATTTAATTTTTCGTCTTCATGTTTGTCACACTATAGGCTTATCGCTCGTCATGTTCACCCATCTCCTTAAAACTTAAAAATCATATGCTATGAAAACAAGTAAGAATAATTTATTTTACAAAATAAAAAAGAAGATATAGACAAATTTCATTTTTCTTTTCGATTTATTGCACTGTTAAAGTTGTCCCCTTCCCCAAAAAATGAAATCGAAATATATTTCTTAAAGCTGAGACCTTGATCTTGTTCAAATAACCCTGGGTTAAGGACATGTAATATTACAACATGTATCTCATGTACAAGCTTCTACTGGTTTCTCCAACTGTGGGCAGAACAATAATTAAATACTTTGTTGCATGCGACTTTGATGATATCCAAAATTACTTTGAAATATGGTCAAAGTACATATCTAGACATCAGCTACATGTACCTTTGTGTTAGGTAAGATAGTATTTGGTTATATAGTTATGTCCAGACAAGATTTTTATTTTTCTAATTCCTTTCGAAAAAGTTTTGTTCATAGAAATCTTTGAAAAGTCACATTTTTAAAAACAGATTTTTGACCAAAAAAAAAAAAATCTAAAATATCAGGTGCACAAGTTCACATAGTATACACTATTTCTACAATATTAAATAGTTTAAGAGATCATCGACGAGCAAAAAATGACCACAGAAAGAGAGACATTCGGATAGACGGACATGGTGATTCAACTATACCCCAATACATCGTTTGTGGGGGTTATATTTGATATAGGTAACTGATTCTTCAATAAAAATTGCACTATTTATATAGACATATTTTCCTTGTCTTTTGTCATATAGGAGTTTGGTTTTTGTTGTTGTTAAAACATTCGGATTCTTTCCACGAGTATTGTTAATAATGGATTGCATAACAATATCTTAGTAGATTTGGAGACACAGGTCTTATAACAATCTGTCGGAATTCCCAATAGTTCTCATTTTTGGATAATTTCCTAGATATACACATTGATAGAAAGCTAACAATTTCAACTTCTCTATTGCCGACTTCCCTTATTTATGTACCAGCAGACTATTATCATCTGCGTATAAGTATTTTTGTCTCTCAATAGCAATTGATTCGATACCAAGAGAATGTTCTACGAACCATCAGTTTTAAGCCTGAGACAGGCAACTGACAAATAAATTGATGCTAAAGGATTATCATTAACTTCGTTTAAAGTCAATTGGATTGCAAATAATGTTGACTGAAATTTTTAATACATATTGTAAGGCCTTAATTTTAGTACTGATCTGTTTTTGCCCGATTGGGACAAAAGCTTCCCGCGAAAATACCGCTTTGTTTAAAGACAGATCGACAGGGGAATGCTTGCTTATCCAAGCATCCCTTGGTCCAACCCCCGGTGTTGCTAGAAATCTGCATTTCCTCTGCTCTCAATTTTTTAAATTCAATTTTTAATTTGGTTTTTGATCTGGGTTACTGTTTGTTATCCACACATTTTAAGTTTAACAAAAAGGATACATATAATTTAATATTTCAACTATAAACAAATATTGCATGTATGCATCAAAACTATTTCTTAATAAAGTACTCAGGCAAGTGGCGTAGCTTATTAAACGTGTGTTTAAATTAATAGTTTCCAGTCTTTTTATACACTGGGCGATATCTCAAAGAAAAGTCAAATGAAGCTAAGTTTTCTCGTAGATTGAATACCATTCTTAATTCATTAATCAATATGAAAAAAAAATATTGCGGAATATGTGAGATGAAAAAAAATATTTAAATTAAAGCACATATATTCTTAAAGGCACTTAAATCACTACATGTGATGGCTTAAACATATTCGTGTATTGCAATGAAGAAAACAATTAAACATCACTGAAATATTCGCAATATCAAGTGTAATATCAATTATAGGTAACCAATGTTGCAATATGTGATTTTTTTAACCATAAAGCGTTACATGTTTGTACTAGATTTCCTACGTAAATATAGAGGATAGGCTATTCTATCGTTCAGGCTATCATATCATTTAATATTATAACGCTAAATATGGACTATGAAGCCGCAACTATTTATTAAAATGCCTCCTGGGTGCTCTCACAGGAGATATATTCATCGAATCAACCCAATAAATTTATCATCTTCTAACGTAAACATGTTTTGAGGAAATCCATCTATATACAGGTCCATCATTGATGTGACAAGTTAATGCAAGTTTTTATTAACCACATCACAAGTTAATAGATCGTGTGATTCATAATGAATTTTTTCTTCCCTCTTGCGGTTCTGATAAACCATCTTCAAAACACCTTTGGCTTAAATGTAAGCACATTGTCGTTACCATGGAAACAAAATAACAACACTAAATAACAATAGGTTTCCAAGTTTGTTCTTCCCTTAAGAATCTTCCGAAGATTGGGAATTAATAGTGATTAATCTTATAAATGCTTTAAACAAGATGAACCGTGATCAGGGAAAGACCACAGACCGCTGGAAACACCAGAGGTAGGATTAATGATAGGAGGAGTAAGCACCCCCCCCCCCCCCCCCCCACGTCGAGCGATCACACCCGCCATGAATCCTCAGTATTTACGTTTATGCAAACAGAGTATTCTGTAGTTGAAATTAGTATAATACAATGAATACATTTGGTATGAAACATGTCAGTTAGAGCAAAACCCAGGGTTGGTTGCTTTTCCAAGCAAATTCATCATAATAACAAAAATTACGAACTTCTGGCATTAAGTGTGATTGGTTGAAAGATTTGTAACATTTATTTGTTTATCAGTAGAATGCCTTGGAATAAAATAGATCACATTCAGAATAGTCAATATACTCTTATCACGTGCATATGGGGTTTACGTCTCCCAGTTGATTCAATACACAACAGCATGCTCCACATTCGAGCAATTTATAAAACGAGGCAAGCTATTGACAAAAAGTTGATGAAACAAGGATATTAACAGTCTCGATTAAAGTCATCGTTTCGCAAGTTCTATGGTCGATATTATGACCTTGTCAGCAAATACAAGCTATCATTGAATTGAATGCTGACTGACGTTCTTCATACTAATTGTTAGGCCATTTCAACACTGAATTGCCTACGGATTATTCCATTTGCCCGATTATGACAATAAGCACACGGCGGGAGTGATAGGTCGACAGGAGATGCTTACTCCTCCAAGGCACCCTATCCCATCTCTGATGTATTTCAGAGGTCTGTGTTTGCTCTGCTCCCGATTTGTATTGTTTCAATGGACTTTTGAGCTTGATTACTGTTCGTTATCTCCATATTTCATTCATAACATGCTCTCCGTTCGAGTACTGTGAAATTAATAATTTCTGTTGGGGCTTAATTTTTTTTTTCGAGGTACTAAGAGACCCAAGAATTGTAAAATATATACATACTTAGTGAGCGATTCTTCGTCCACGAAATCAAATCCCACGAACCCATAGTTTTTTCCTGAACTACAAAAATTTGACCCCATGAAAATGATTTTTAGCTCTCCTGAGCTGAAAGCTCAAGTAAGCTTTTCTGAGCACCCGTTGTCCGTCGTCCATCCGTCCCTCCGTATGTCCGTCCGTCTGTAATCTTTTCACATTTTCAACTTCTTCTCAAGAACCACTGGGCCAATTTTAACCAAAATTGGTATAAAGCATTCTTGGGTGAATGGAAGTTTAAATTTTTAAAATAAATGGCCAAGCCCTCTTTCCAAGGGGAGATAATCAAGAAAAGACAAAAATAGTGAGTGTGGGGGTAATTAAAAAAATCTCCTTCTCAAGAACCACTAGGCCAGAAAAACTGAAACTTAAGTGGAAGCATCCTGGGGTAGTGTAGATTCTAAATTCTTCAAATCATGATCCCCACAGATAGGGCGGGGCCACAGTAGGGAATCCAAGTTTTACTTTGAAATATGTAGAAAATATCTTTAAAAATCTTCATCTCAAGAACCACTGAGCCAGAAAAGCTGAAACTTATGTTGAAGCATCCTGGGGCAGTGTAGATTCTAATTTGTTCAAATCATGACCCCCGTTGATAGGGCGGGGCCACAATAAGGAATCCAATTTTTACATTGAAATATGTAGAAAATATCTTTAAAAATCTTCTTCTTAAAAACCACTGGGTCAGAAAAGCTGAAACCTATGTAGAAACATCCTGGGGTAGTGTAAATTCTAAATTGTAGATTCTAAATCATGACCCCTGGGGGTAGGGCATAGCCAAATAAGTATTACAAGGGGGGATCATATGAAGAACAGCAGGGCCAAAGTTACTCAGGTGAGCGTTGTGGCCCATGGACCTCTTGTTACATTATGTTAAAAGAAGGAGTACATGTAATTTTATTCTATTTTAATTTAATGCAGCTGCGAATTAACCTCATTACATGTAATTTTTTTCTCAGTTGCACATCTGACAGCAATATCATGTTGTAAATTAAATTCTGAATTTACTAGATGGAGGTAAATGCAAAATTAATTTTTTCATTTACCGCCACCTAGTAAATTTAAAATTTACAACATGATAAAGTCATGACGTATCAGAGTTCATCGTCCCTCCATTCATTCAAAATTTTGAAGCTGATGATTTGGCAGAAAAAATCTCATTCTTAACTAAAATGCACACAATTTCATTATATCCTGCAGCAGAAATTTGCTAGAAATTGCCCTTTAATTTAATATTTTTAAAGGAATAATACCAGTAGTCATTTATTCAACTGAGAGTTACTTTTCTTGCCAGAGGGTCAATGAACCTTTTAATGCATTGTCATGAAAATTGATCAACATTAAAGTTGATATTAGTTGTTGGTAAATACGTCATTAATTTATTGACAAATTTGATCCCTTGTTACAAATTTTTAATTCCAAATCATAATTAAAAGACTTATAAATAATTACACTTATCGCATTAGATGTAAATTTAATCACAACAAACATTACAGACACTAATTAAAACTTCGTACTTTGACACCATCATCGGTATATTTAGAAATACGGGATGAATCGAAGGAAGAATTTTACGACATATCGAACTATTATGTCAGTTAAATAAAGTCATATAAACTCCTTTTTTGAATTTATTTATGTCTTCACTTAATGTAAAATTGCAATATTACATACATACGAGGGCTGTCCATTTCGTGGACTCATATTTTTCTAAATAATAAGGACACAGACAATTGTGTATAATATTTTAATATAGACTTGGGTAAATATCTCAAAATCAGAGTCATAAAAATATTCCAAGATCGTTTTCATCGTTAACACCTCGTATAAGTGCAAGCCGTTCCAACATTGATTTATAATGCCGTCATACATCTATATACTGATACATATTTCTTACCTTTTTTTTTTTTACCCATATCCGTCAAATAACGGATAATATATACAACTATACAAGCCTGTAGAAAGCGGAGGGGGTGGGGGTGGCTGTTCCTCCACTAAACACCTAATAATATTGTCAGTATATACATAACAATAGAAAACAAAGATCATTTACAGTTATGCCCCACAAAAACCGTCAGATGATCTCTTTTTTAAACTTGTTAAGAATTTCTTTCAGGCTGCCCCCCCCACCCCACCCCCACCCCCCGCGCACTTAAATTGCTTCATATGGGTCTGTTATAACGACATAAGAAAAGGACCTCAGCCATTTTAAATACGCTACAATCAATTTTTACAAAGTTTTGATTTATATTATGAAAAGTAAAATCAATTAAATTTAAACAATTTTGCAAATTTAAAGCATATTCCATAGACCATGCATACCTTTTGTAACCTTTTAAGTCGACGAATTTTAATTTAGATTTTAATTTAAGTGATAAAAGTTATATTATTTTAAACTGATTTCTTTTTATAACAAATACATGGTATACAATATGTTTATATAAAATATCAAAAGCGCCAAAGTTTTCGTACTTGAAATTTTATTATCGCAGTGCGTTACTTCAAGTCGTTGAATCTTACGGTGGTAAAAAAGAACATTAAAAGTACATGTACCTTTAGCTTTTCATTCCTATTGTTTTAAATTAAATAAGTTGAAGAACAATAAAAAAAAAATATATTCTAAGATCCAGACAAACAAAGACTCACTGTGGTCATTTCCGGCCAGATACAGAGAAAATACCATAGAATTGTGGAAAACAAGGTTTTCAAATAGAAAGTTCTGCCTTAACTACTCAGTGGAAGACTGAAAGTACCTTAAAAATCATCTAAATATCAGTCTAAATTGTATTTAAATATAAGATTAGGGTAAAAACAGAGTAAACTAGAGTAAATATGTTGACACAAAAAATTGCTTATATAGAAATTGTGAGGATAAACATGATAATAAAGGGAAAAAAGAAAAAAAAACATATGTATTTTTAAAAAAATCAAAACAAATGGAAGATACTGATATATATATATATACCTTTTCCGTGTAGAGTTAGACTGGGGATGGCAAAAGAACCTAGGCTTAAACTTGATTTATCCATATTTGTAGAGTGTTCGATGGTGTCTACTGGTTCAACAACTGAAATAGACAAACTTTACAGATGCAAATTTCTATACCTTTTTAAAATCGAAATATGTTTATCAACTTTCCTTCTTACCTTGTCAACTTGAGATTGGATATCCTTTCTTTCATAAATTCTCACTACATGATATATAAGGAAGAGTATAGAAAATCAATTCTCGTACCTGATTGGCAAATTGGAAAGAGATAAGACGAGTGCAAAGATGGAAAATTATGCAATGATTTAATAATTCTTAAATAGAATATTATTCACATCCTTACCACTGCGTATGTTGTTAAAGAAAACAGTGCTGTGACTTCAGAACTTTGTTCTTGCAGTCCAGCTGGGGCCTGTTTTACAAATAACTTACAACTAAGACCAAAAACTTAAGTTGATTGTAAAGTTTTGCAAAATTGATGATTCTGTTAAAAATTGCTAGCGATAAAATATCTTACTACATTCCTTCTAAAAAGATTAAAACCCTTTTAATATAATGTAAATTAAAAAGTTATAAGTAAAATTAAATTTTAGTCTTAGTCGTAAGTTCTTTTGTAAAACGGGCCCCAGAAGTTAAAATGCATCAGTCCTATAATAATTATTACCAGTCCAAGAATAATTCATCGGACTGAAACGATAAGAAAATCTGACAGTAATTACGTAGAAAAACAAGAGTAAGATCAAGGTTTAATATTTCCAGATATTAAACTAGATGCTGTCATAAGACAATAATACCCGCTTGTGCATGTAAGTGTTTGTCTCTAAATATACGCTAGCTCCTTTGAAACTGAGTACCAAAGAAGCCACAAAAGTTATTCTATAATTTACATAAAATATATATATACATTGATCAAACTGAGCATAAAATGCAGAGGTGAGCATTTATGACCAAGGAACTCTTATCTAAGTATTTCAAATAATAAATTCATTACTGGTTCGAAATTAAATATTGTAACGAAGTAAATTCTGATTTTAAAAATGCGTTTCAGAAAAATGCTTTTTCTGTATAGACAACATAAAAAAAAGAAAAAAAATCGGTCAAAAATGGAGCTTGAAGACGTTATTTTTAGACCCCCATTTGACCCCAAGGGTTCAAATAAGAATTCTGAAACGTTATTATACATCTACAGGAACCCTCAAATCATCTTGCAAAAGAAGAAAAGGCTATTGTGTAAAATGTACGAGGAATTCTTGGAACAAGGTTTTTGTGAAACGTATTTTTTACCCTAATTTGACCCCAGGATGAAATTTAAAATTCCATAACCCTAGAACACATCTGCAGGACACACACACCCTATCTTCTTAAAATAGATGAAATGGTTACTGTCACATGAGTTCTTGGAGGCAGGTTTTTGGTAAAATGAAGAACGTCATTTTATGACCCCATTTCCCCTAGGATGAAAATGAAATTTCCGAAAGCTTATTGCACATCTACAGAAACCCGAAACCATCTTGCGAAAGATGAGATGGCTACAGTTTAAAATGTAGTTCTGTTAACAAGGTTTTTGTAAAATAAAAACCTCGTTTTCCAACCCTTATTTAACCCCAGGAGAAAATTGAAAAATGCCAAAACCTTATAAAACATCTGCAGGACACCCTTAATCATCTTGCAATAGATGAAATGGCTACTGCGTAAAATGTAGGATGAGTTCTGGGAACCAGGGATTTTTGCAGAAAAAACGTCATTTTTCGACCCGTATTTGACTCCCAGGGTAAAAATATTTTTTTAAAAACGAAACTTATTGCACATCTATATATCTAGGACACCAGCAATCATCTCTCAGAAGCTGAAATTGCTACTGCACAAAATGTAGGAGGAAATCTGGGAACCCGGATTTGTTAAAATAAAACAAAATGTCGTTCTTCGAACCAATTTAGCCCCCAGGGTGAAATTGAAAATTCCGTAAACCTTATAAAACATCTGCAAGACACCCCCCCCCCCCCCACCAATCATCTTGCAAAAGATAAAATGGCTACTGTGTAAAATTTAAGAGGAGTTCTGGGTAAACTTTCTTTTAAAAACGCTTGTATTACAAATAGAAAAATAGCAAATTCGGTGTAAGCAATTGCAAGGAATTTAAGTTGCTATAAAGAAGCAAATATATGGAGAAGAAAACTAATTGGAATGCACAATTTTAACCTGCTTCACTTTAGCATTTCCCATAGATTTATTTTTTTGGCTAAGTGTTTTAAACACAGCACTCTTAATAAGTGAATTTAATTCCATTTTTGATTAAGAAACAGCCAGTCTCTTCATAGGTTTGTTCTCCTCTGCTTGCTTATCTTTTCAAAAATCTTGATCTTTATATCTTCATAATATCAAATATCGAATAAAAACTCGCATTTTCACTTTCCAAATTTCGTTTCGCTTGTTTGTAGAAGGCAAATTGAAATGTGCGATAAATAACATTATAAAGAGTGGGGTTTGGCAGTATGTGTAAATTAGCAGCTGTAGTGGCCCTTCTCCAATCGATTGACACTTACCTAGAATACAGATAAATATCCTATAATAATCAAAATGAGACGAATAAAAATTTTTGAAAAGTTTATTTTGATTTTCCCTGGTGTATTTATAGTCTAGGGTCGCCGAAATGTAAAGAAAAAATAGATTGTGATAAGATCCTATATACTGATACAGTTCTATATGAAAACTTCAATTACAGATACTAAAAATTCTAAAAAGTTATGACTTAAATTCTTACTCATCGTGAATTCAGAAGCTTTATAAAGCAAATTAAGAAAACTGGTCAGAAGGGTATCTTGATTACTGTGCACTAAAATCAGTGTTCAGAATTACTCAACCGTGAAATATATGACGTCACGTGGGGAAAATGGTAAAAAGCTGAAAACACGTGCATATTGATGACGACAGGTTTTTCAACTCATCTCATTTCTCGGCACTAGTTAAAATTAAAGCTTGCTTGAAGATGTTAATCAAAAGTATGAAGCATTTCGCTCCCAAAATAATAAAATTTTTTATACCTTTAATGCAAAAACATTCCTGAATTACCGTTACGGAAGTTATTTTTTTAAGCGAGACAACTGTTTTTGTCTAATTCATTTTGTTATGTCGAAAATGTAATAGTCTAAAGTAGCTGAGTCGCAACTAGAATCGATGATATTAGGTTCCATGATAATTATTATTTAATAGAATTAATGCATTTTCACTATATTATCATTAGAGCCCACTCTTACACTAGAACATCATGAAACTCAAAATTCTGGATGAAACATCCTTACTCTTCATAACATAAATATTTAGTTTCTCTGCTTTCTAACCAGGAAGCAGAAAGAATATTTTCAAAGAAATTATGCTTTTTCAATATATAAACAATTGAGTGTCCCCCTTTCATAAGAATCCTCGACCCTGTGCCCATGAATTTCAAATTTTGGGAGGGGCATCCTTGCTAATCATAACCATGCACATAGTATGTTTATAGGAAGAAGATTTTCACAGATTTCATGCATTTTCATTATATAATCAATAGAACACCGCCCAAACACCAGAACCCCTCATTTTGGAAGATTGATTGATTGATTGATTATTATTGTTTTACGCCGAGTCGGCAATATTTCAGCCATATTTCGGCGGTCATTTTGGAAGAAGAACCCTGTATGAACTATGTATTTAGTTAGTTAGTTTAATAACCAGGAGCAGAGAAGAAGATTTTTTAAAAAAATAATGTAATTTCACTATATCTATATAGCCCCGCCCTAGCAGCAAAAAACCCCCAGACCCTGGGGCCACGAATTTCACAATGTTGGTACAGAAGTCAATGCTTATTACAATCATGCCAACAGTATGACAGTTCGATGTCATAGAGTAAAGAGGAAGATTATTTAAGATTGCATTAATTTTGGTGGTTTTAGCTCCACCCCTCAGGAACCATGACATTCACAATTTTTGTTTCCCTTCTCCCATTGATACTTTATGTCAAAATTGGTTGAAATTGGTTCAGCGGTTTCAGAGACGCACAAAGCACGACGACAGATAAAAACAGATAACAATAGGTAACCTGAGCGACTCAGGTGACCTAAAAGTACTTTAATTTATGGATTTTATCTTTTAGACTTGTCAAAAATAGATGAGCATAAATTAGACAAATATATCATATATTTGTACATTAAATGTCATTTAAAGACTAAGGAAGACCAGTGATATACAATGTAGGGAATATGCTGGGTTTATTATGTGAATTCTGTGTCCTGTTGTTTTGTTAAATTTGGTGATAGTGATATAGTGTTGGTGGCACTGGCACGTACATGGAAATAAGTAAATATACTTTCAAAGTTATTGATCCCTGTCCATTCTATTTGTCTTATTTTTGAGCAACATATCTTCATCTGTCTGTTTATTTTGTTTTATTATATACTTATTAATTTGATATTCCCTGGATCCTTTACAGGGTGCATAATACTCAGGTGACCGTTAAGGCGAATAGGCCTTTTGTTTGTTTTTTTTTTTCCTATACAGTTTTCAATTTCAATAGAGTCTTCATATTACACTACATAAAGGAAGTATCTTGTATCAGTTGCAGTTTGTTGGAAGATGTGATCTCCAAAGTCTACGGAGATTTTGTCAATCAAGAACTCTTAGCATCCTTTTAATGACAACTTCGGAGTACTTGTGTGTAGAATCAGAGTGATTTTATAAAAGAAATTTTGTTGATAACCAATTACAAGATACGAAAATTTCTGAGTTAAATCCTAGACAATACGATACCTAAACAGGTCAAACACACGGACCTCTGGAAATACTAAAGGTAGGATCAGGTGCCTAGGAGGAGTAAGCATCCGAAGTCGACCCCCCACCACCACTGCAAGCTCTCTGTATTGATCGGGTAAATAGAGACATCTTGATCCAAAACTGACTCACAATTGGTATGACACAGTCAGTCAAAATACGAAATATACGACGCAAAAGGTATATTTGCAACAATGTCATTATATCGGCCATAGAATTTGCGAAAAGCTGGCGAAAA